TTCAAGCTTATATTATCGGATATATGTCAACAATTGCGTTCCGAATGTTATATTCGTCTGAATATAAGTGAGGCACCAATTAAGTTGAATTTCATATATTTGCCCATCTTTGTACTTGAAACGTTTTGAATGTGTATTTTAACTTTAGAAGTACTTTCTACAGTAGCTTAGCTTTATTCTGCCAAGTCTACAAATCGCTGGCTGATCAAGATATAAATTTTCTAAAATTTTGAAATCTGAAAATATTCTTACCCTGAAAATTGGTAAAAAATTTATTTTTGTTAAAAAAATATTTAACCCCAAGCGCCCTTTGTGATTCCCTAGATCTGTCTCACTGATTGCGATAATTCAAGCTTATATTATCGGATTTATATCAACAATTGCGTTCCGAATGTTTTATTCGTCTGAATATAAGTGAGGCACTAATTTAGTTGAATTACATATATTTGCCCATCTTTGTGCTTGCAACGTGTTAAATGTGAATTTTTACTTTAAAAATACTTTCTACAGTAGCTTAGCTTTATTCTGCCAAGTCTACAAATCGCTGGCTGATCAAGATATAAATTTTCTAAAATTTTGAAATCTGAAAATATTCTTACCCTGAAAATTGGTAAAAAATTTATTTTTTTCAAAAAATATTTAACCCCAAGCGCCCTTTGTGATTCCCTAGATCAGTCTCACTGATTGCGACAATTCAAGCTTATATTATCGGATTTATATCAACAATTGCGTTCCGAATATTATATTCGTCTGAATATAAGTGAGAGGCACTAATTAAGTTGAATTACATATATTTGCCCATCTTTGTACTTGAAACGTGTTGAATGTGAATTTTAACTTTAGACATACTTTCTACAGTAGCTTAGCTTTATTCTGCCACGTCTACAAATTGCTGGCTGATCAAGAAATAAATTTTCTAAAATTTTAAATCTGCAAATATTCTTACCCTGAAAATTGGTAAAAAATTTATTTTTTTCAAAAAATATTTAACCAGAAGCGCCCTTTGCGATTCCCTAGATTAGTCTCACTGATTGCGATAATTCAAGCTTATATTATCGGTTTTATATCAACAATTGCGTTCCGAATGTTATATTCGTCTGAATATAAGTGAGGCACTAATTAAGGTGAATTACATATATTTGCCCATCTTTGTACTTGAAACGTGTTGAATGTGAATTTTAACTTTAGACATACTTTCTACAGTAGCTTAGCTTTATTCTGCCACGTCTACAAATTGCTGGCTGATCAAGAAATAAATTTTCTAAAATTTTGAAATCTGAAAATATTCTTACCCTGAAAATTGGTAAAAAAATTTATTTTTTTCAAAAAATATTTAACCAGAAGCGCCCTTTGCGATTCCCTAGATTAGTCTCACTGATTGCGATATTTCAAGCTTATATTATCGGTTTTATATCAACAATTGCATTCCGAATGTTATATTCGTCTGAATATAAGTGAAGCACCAATTTAGTTGAATTTCATATAATTGCCCATCTTTGTACTTGAATCGTGTTGAATGTGTATTTTAACTTTAGAAGTTCTTTCTACAGTAGCTTAGCTTTATTCTGCCACGTCTACAAATTGCTGGCTGATCAAGAAATAATTTTTCTAAAATTTTGAATTCTGAAAATATTCTTACCCTGAAAATTGGTAAAAAAATTTATTTTATTCAAAAAATATTTAACCAGAAGCGCCCTTTGTGATTCCCTAGATCAGTCTCAATGATTGCGATAATTCAAGCTTATATTATCGGTTTCATTTAAACAATTGCGTTACGAATGTTATATTCGTCTGAATATAAGTGAAGCACCAATTAAGTTGAATTTCATATATTTGCCCATCTTTGTACTTGCAACGTGTTGAATGTGAATTTTTACTTTAGAAATACTTTCTACAGTAGCTTATCTTTATTCTGCCAAGTCTACAAATCGCTGGCTGATCAAGAAATAAATTTTCTAAAATTTTGAAATCTGAAAATATTCTTACCCTGAAAATTGGTAAAAAATTAATTTTTTTCAATTAATATTTAACCACTTGTGACCTTTGTGATTCCCTAGATCAGTCTCACTGATTGCGACAATTCAAGCTTATATTATCGGATTTATATCAACAATTGCGTTCTGCGACTTTCTTTGCTTCGCCGCCTTGCAAGAAATGAAACCAGTTGACTGAGTTTTTAACAAGTTTTTTTTTCTTTGTAAAAATTGAAGCCATCCAATTTTTATATGATAAATTAACATATGAAAAAGATTTTTGACAGTTTCAAATCATTATTCTTTAAATTACACTCGTAACGAAAACACGTTTTTATCACGAGAAAAACTGGTATTTTTGAAACGAGTTATGTAAAATCTGTTCTCGTTAAAGAAATGCCAGTTTTAACCAAGTTATAAACTGGTAAATTTTTAACAACACTTAAAAATATTTTTACAAATCAGGAAAAAAAATTTATTGTTAAAAAAAATTATTGATGTTAAAAAATAAAAAATGTAAAATTGTGAAATACTTTTTCAGTAAATGTTTTATTAAATAACATTTCAATTTAAAAAAAAATTATTTATTTGATAAAAATCTACTTACAATTAATATTGAGGAAAAATGTTTTAAAATTAATCTAAAAAAATTAATTTATAATTTCCTTTTTCAACGGAGCAGAGCTTTGTAGGTGAGGTCGAGATGTGGCAAACAGGTGGCAAGCTCATTTTATTTAAAAACTAGTTCAACATTATTTGCAAGTCAGCTCTCAGATTAAGAAATATTTTTTTACATATATATATTATAAAAAATTTTCTTATAATATAATTGCATTATTATTTATGCTTCTGAAAAAAATAATATGGTGTGTGATTTATTTTTCGAACAATTTGACGATAATTTTAGGGAATAATTTAACTAAAAATTAGGTATAAATTAAATTTATAAGTAAGCGTTTTCATCAAATGTTAATTTTTACTCAAAATTCTTTAAAGTAAATTTCTTTACCAAATATTTTAATTTTTTAATTAGACGATTATTGTTAAGTGGTAAAATTAATTTTTGAAATAAGTGTTTTCATCAAATAAGCAAATTTTTCTCAAAAATTCTTCATAGTTAAATTTCTTTCACTTTTTATAAATATTATTTTTCTTTTTAATTTTGACAATTAGTTTTGGAAATATATTTAAAAATTAATTTTGTAAGTAAGTAAGGAAAAGTGTCAGAATAGAGAAATGTGTTGTGTGTTTTGAGCGTACCCTTCTCGTTGAAGGTCGTTCGAGAGACATCGAGAAATCTATAGTTATTTTTCGCTTTATTTTTCACGTAAACGCTCAAAACACTATTCTAACAAAAATAATTAAAAAAAAATTTAATATGTAAAAATATTTTTCACAGAAGTTGTCAAATTTGGAATAAATTTTTTGATGTAAAAATTGTAATTAAAAAATAATTTATGAGAAAAAAATTTATTATTTGCTGATAACACTCTCGTTATGTATTAATTATATTAATTTTAGTAAAAATAGTTTCACAGCGTTATGAATTGTAGCTGCCGACTTTAAATTCAATTCACCCATGTGATCGTGAAATTCTACTACAAATTAAAATAAAAATAATAATTGTACAAACAAAATAATTAGTAAATTGCATAATAATGCCAATGTATTTGGAAATTTAATCAAAGAGCAAAGAGTGGAGAGTTTCACAAGCGCACGCACCGCGAGATAAATTTTTTTTCAAATTAGAGAACTTTTCCTTAAATAGAAGTTGATTAAGTGGATTAAATCTCTTCTATATATTATTAATTTAGGGCAGGGTATGTGAATTTAGAAAGAATTATGAGCCCCAAAATTTTAATAATCTGTTAAATTAATTTGTAATAATAATTATTTTTTATCAATTGATATATTTCTTTCCATTTTTTAATAACTCATTACTTTTTTTAATTAAATATAAAATTAAATGTATATTTTATTTTCTCTTAATTTTTTTTTTAATATAATTCATTTTATTGAAAAAAGCTGAATTAATCATTTTTTTTTTCTAAAATTTATTAGACTAATATTCTTTTAATATATTTTTAGGATCCGGAATTTTTTTTATAATTTGCAATATTATTATTGTGTTAGGAAAAGTAGCTGATAATTTTTTTGGTAAAAATATTCTCCATAATATAATTTTTATTACAAATCTTAAATAAATCCTTAAACGACTAAACGTTCTAATGTATATATGCATCTCGAATCATTTTGTGAACCGAAAAAATTTTGGTAATATCTATACGCAACAATTTCAAGGCCTTTGATGTTACATCTCATGGTCTAATGGTTAAAGCTTTGTCACAGATGCAGAAGTATCCAGATTCGAATTTACCCTCAGGCAGACTTTTCACTTGATATACAATGTCTACGTCATTCATGATCAAGTTACAAAGACCGCGACAAATTGAAAATTATTTTTCTTTTGCGTTTTTTAAACATTTTTTGGCTTCTTTTTTTATTGAAAAGCCAACTTGTTAAAAACAGGTAGTTAGGCGAGCCAGTCGAGTCAGTCGCGTCAGTCGAGTCAGTCGCGACAGTCGCGTCAGTCGAGTCAGTCGCGTCAGTCGAGTCAGTCGCGTCAGTCGCGTCAGTCGCGTCAGTCGAGTCAGTCGCGTCAGTCGAGTCAGTCGCGTCAATCGCGTCAGTCGAGTAAGTCGCGTCAGTCGCGTCAGTCGAGTCAGTCGAGTCAGTCGCGTCAGTCGCGTCAGTCGAGTCAGTCGAGTCAGTCGAGTAAGTCGCGTCAGTCGAGTCAGTCGCGTCAGTCGCGTCAGTCGAGTCAGTCGCGTCAGTCGAGTCAGTCGCGTCAGTCGCGTCAGTCGAGTCAGTCGCGTCAGTCGAGTCAGTCGCGTCAGTCGAGTCAGTCGCGTCAGTCGAGTCAGTCGCGTCAGTCGAGTCAGTCGCGTCAGTCGAGTCAGTCGCGTCAGTCGCGTCAGTCGAGTCAGTCGCGTCAGTCGAGTCAGTAGCCGGTGCAAAACTGTTTGATCAAATTGGATCGCGCACACACCAGGCACACACCAAACACACAATAGAGTCACACAACAACAACACTGATGCAGATGAATTTCTTTCTCTTTGTTTACATCCAATCATTAAAAAATGATTGATGACTTTGGCTGATTCCACGCAACTGATTGGCCGACCTCCTGACCTGGGACATTTTTGCTTATTAACGGCGGGAATGGCATGTCACGCATAAAAGAATTATATTGTTATAAGTAATAATCGCCGAGCAGTAACATCGTCAAATATGTACAAAAATGGTCATTTATTATAATTGGAGTCGAAAAATCCAGAACTTTTTGGAACTTATCATTTAATTTAATGAAATAAACTCAACTGAAAATAATAAATTATATATTAATAAAGCCACACTGAAGTTAATTTAAAACGCGCATAAATTTCATACTAAAATTTTAAACATGTTTTTATAAATGTACAATTATATATTTTCGAGCTTTACAGTTGCTGAAATTAAAAAAAAAAATACATCAACTTGAGCAACTCAATTATTTCTTTTTTCTTGTAAAAGAATTGTGCAACCGGCCATTTCCATCTTTTATCTAGCCACATCTTGTGAAATTGTCATAGTTACTGAAGAAAAAAATTTTTCAAAAAATTATTTTAACTTGATTGATTATTGGTAATTAAGCATAATTCCCGTATTTTTATTCATTTCATAAACTAAAACGATTTCTTATATCAGGGGTGTTTCTGATGATCCACCTCATATAATTGACGACGTCTGTATACAGGGCGTAGTAATTTGGATTGCACGTCCACAAGACCTCTTGGTCATTCTTGATCACTTTTTTCAAATTGCCCATGCTGACCACTCCGCGCAAAAAGTGACGTCTGGAGAGGCGGTCGTAAAGGGAAAATCCACCACCACTGTCTCCGTTGCAAGCACCGGTCTCTGCATTTTGCCAGAATTTCAGTTTAATCGTTTTTTCTGACGGAAGTAACACTCACGATTATGTGGAAATCCAGCGCAAAAGTTTTCCCTGGGCCGCATGTAAAGAGAGAAAAAGCGCTTTTTGCTCTCATAGCATTGCTTGTACGAAACGACTTTTATGCTCGCCTCCTGCAAAATGTCTGGCTGGGTATAATTTGACGTCAGACCCCAGCCGACCAACTTATCCGAAATTTTATACGTTTGTACATATTCAGCACTAATTTTGCTTTTACCGTGCCTGTCCTGTTTGCAATTCTGTCCAAGTCGTAATCAAAGTTCCAGAGACAAATTGGAGCGACGTAATCAGAAAATTGCACCTCTCCAGTGACAATGATGAGAGCGATATCGTCTTTAAAATCACCCCTGCTGTGATTGTAGCCGGGGTGCACCACAAGATTTGAAGCCTGCTTGGGAAGTGGGAATAAATGAATCTTTTAATTAAATTAAATGGCAATTCTATTGGAATATACAGAACTAAAAATTTTATTTGTGAAATAAAAAATCTTCTCATAACTAAGGTGTAAGTTAAATGTGATCATTCAATTGATTAATATCTGATGAGACTGATTAGAGAGAATTAAAAACAAATATATTTTTTGAGGTTCTTTTGGTATTCTTTTTCGTTTTTTTTTCTCAATTATCTCAAATATTGTGAAATGGAAATCCTAAATATATGTGTTTCTTCGTGAATGCACTGTGGAATTTGCAAAAAATATCTGCTGAAAATTTCATGAGCTAGCATTATGGCTGGTGATTTTCTCTCTATACGCACCTCTTTTATTATGTATGTATTATGATCTTTATTTTTACTTTTTAAGTGTTATCTTCTAACTTGCAATTGCAAGAGTTGAATTTTGATTTTCATTTCAATTCATATTTCTATAATTTTATACAGTAGAAAATTGTATCAAAAGAAAAGGTATTGAATAAATTAATTTTAATATTTCTACAGTTACCCTTAAAGTCTGCCGCGAACTCTCTTTTGCTTTTGACGAGCGATTGTACATTCCGAGCGTCACATCCACATGACTCGCTCTCAAAGGAAGTCCTTCTCTGTCGAAGAGGCAATGTGCCGCTGGAAGTATTTCAAATTAATTATTCTTTTATCGTTAATCATTATTTATTCTTCTTTTATCTTCAAATTTAAATTTATTAGTATTTTTGCTTAGTAAATATTATAAATGTAACACGTTGAACTCGAAAATTTATTTATATTAATAGGGAATATAATATTTCATTAATTTGATTGAAAAAAGCTCCAACCGACCAGTGACAAGAGCCTTTTTAGAAATGAGCGTCGCCCCACAAGAATCTTCAACACTCCCGGTGACCATTTGGACTGAGAGACTTGCATGCCAAGGGTGTTGACCTCGGACCGCATTTTGGCCGTTGAAAATTAAACCACCTGGCCGCTCCTCCTCGGTTACTCTTTTTGATCGTCGCCCTGACACACGTCCACAGTTTGCAAAGCTTTGACTTACTCCAAAGTCTGGAAATGAATTTATAATTATTTTTATTACAAATAATGTGAACAGCAAAATACCGATTCTGCTTTTCAGATCGGGAATTACTGGCATGGCCGCTAGATTGAAGGACGCCGAGACGATTTCGTTTGTGTACGGAAGTAAGTCGAACCACGTCATAGTAAATTCTGAATCGTAAACATATATTGCACGTAGATAAGACCGATCTTCTCGACGAATGAACAAATATTCAGACCCCAGTTCTGTACATAAAAAATTAATAATTGAGCGGTTGGAAGAGCAACAAAATCATTCTATTTTAAAAACCCTTCTGTTCTTACGAGAAGATGCTGATGTGCAAATTGAATTCCCGTAAAGGTCACACCGCCATTTTTCAACACGTCTTTCATTGTAACAACTGTTCTCCGCTAGAAAATCTGCTTGCGTAATTGCTTGAAGCTGGTTAGACGAAAAAATATTAATTTATTTATTTTGCAGTTTTTTCAAATATTTTGTTTGTTGTCATTATTTTTTAAAATAATAAATATTTGTTATTATGCGCTTTGATTTAACTTTTTTTAATAATAAAACCGATTTAATTCACCACAAAAGTATAACCAATGCCTGTTAATTCTACTAACCCTCCAATTGTCGGAATAAAAATATTCCAAGTCATCGTTCTGATTGTCTTGGTTCCATAAGCAAGCAGGCTGTAATTTCGGCGTGAGTTTCACTTTTTCTATCCGCCATATGTAGATTGATTCTCGAAAAAATTGTCCGTTCTGCACAAAAACTTCCTTAAAATCGAGAACCTGAAATAAATTTCAAAATGCGTTCATACTCTGCCTAAATTTAAAGTCTTGCATGGTTCAGCAAAGTACAAAAATTTTACATTTTTTTTTTAAATTTTTATTTATAACTGCCATAGATTAATATTTGAAAAAAAGTTGTAAAAAAATTTGATTGGCAATTTACCTTTTGACTTAACAAGCCTCGTCTATGAAAACAATTGACCAAATCTCTTTTATCAGCACAACCACCGCCAAATACCTTCAATTTTTTTCCTTTGGCAACTGCGTTGTAAAATGGATCAATACGATCTTGTATAATACATAATTTATTTAATTAAAGTGTAATTAAAAAAACGGATGTGCTTACATGAAAGGACTGTTTGATCAGATATAAGAATACTCGGTAAATAACCATTTCCAAATGTGATGAAAACCGTCCACGGAGCGATGCGGTCAATTTTGCTATTGTTCCACCGGCCGCAGTCATTGAAACTCAAATTTTCTTCATCGCCAACAGTGAATTCTGAAAATTTTATGTTAAAATGGTTTTTTTATTTGTAAATTAACTGTTAATTCACAGAATAAAGCGATTTAATATAAAAATATAACAAATATAATAAATCATAAATTAAGCAAGTCACACAAAATTTTCCACTTTCATACCTGGTGCTGGAAACATGTACTTGTTTTTGCCATTATTCCAGCAGTCAAAGGAGTTAATTTTCTGTGAAAAATAAGGTTAATTTTTGCACCATACAAATAGTATCAAATACCAGTTCAGGAAACAAAAAAGTTAAAATAAAAAAAAATACTCCATATTATATTTATTTTTTAGCAAAACTGCCAAACTCGCGTTAGTATTATGAATCAGAAGCAGCATGGAAATTTTATAAATCTTTTCTAATAAAGAATTTTTATCACTACCATCTATTTAAATTTATTACTTTTGTGCGTTGAATTATTATTTAAATTGCATTTACCAACCAACAGAGCTTCGAAGCGATGTTCTTCGGTGCTGTAATGTGAGGAAGCGGAAAAAACGCAGATGGCAAAAAACAAAATCCAATCGGAAAATTCCATCTCAATATTTGTGGTCTATAAATTATAGACAAATACTTCATGCCATTTCAATCATCAATTGAATAATGAATGAGTGACAAAAAAATTAATGCAAATTATCTATGATACAAAGAGCAAAAGGAGATTTTGCTTTATCTTACCGAAAATAAAAATCCTGAAAGTGAGTCAGCAACAATTGGTCGAGAGCAACTGCCCGTGGTGTCTAACTAGCGCAGTGTTTTCTAAATATTGAGCTTTGGAATTGGATTCGATAAAGTTTCGAACCTTGGCCGCAGACTGGGTCTAGATAATAAAAGACAAACAGGACAAGAAAAGATCGGTGCTTAGCTGTTTCATAATTATTTTACACACGTTAAATTATAATAAATTATGGCTATAATTATTTTAATATTAATTTTGCTCTTCCATGATATTAAATCAAACTTTTGCTTTCTTAAATAGTACGAAAATGATATCCAAAATTACGAACTGTTAAAATTTAGCATGTATTTAACAATGTGGAACATTAGTCAGAACTTCTATTCTTCTTTTTTCCCACTGATGAATTTTCATGAAATTTTCTTTTTGAGCAGCAGAGTTTCTTGATGATTAAACAAATCAAGACCAGGGGCAAGGCAACGAGGACAGCGAGCACCGCGTACACGTCAACCAAGTGCACTTGATACCATTCAAGATCAGCAGCCGCCGAACGTAAATGGGGCGCCCCATTGTGGCGCAGGACGTACTCGGTCCAGAAAACCGCTCGTTCCAAAGGTGTCTGCTGTTGGTCCCTAACACACGTTTGCAATTTTTTTGCATTCTTTGAAAAGCTATAAATTTTACGAATTATTTTTTATTAATATCTCTTTTTCGTTTCAGAAAATTTTTACCTAGGTTCATTAAGAACTTTCTTGATCGTATTTAAAATTGTCTCTTTTGTGAGGTTTTGGTAGGACAGTTGAAGGGCATAGCCCATATTCTGCGACCTGATCACATTCAGCATTTGGTCTCCAACCATGGGAATTCCAACGAGTGGCATTCCGTAGTAAGAAGCCTCCTGAGTGCTCAGCAAACCACCGTGCGTGATGAAGAGTTTTACATTTGGGTGACCTTAATATTTATAATTATAGAATTTTAAAAATAATAATAAAACAAATTGAACTAAGAATAGCTTGCTGCGGTAGCCAGACTCCCGTTTTGACGTTTTTTGGCTGACCCGGAAGTTTTTCCACTTCCCATTTCCAAATAATCCTTTGAGGAAGTTCAGCAAAAGCTGCAACGAAAGCTTTAACCTTTTCCAAAGGCATATCTTTGGCTTGAAGAATGGAACCCATCGAGAAATAAATCGCACCTTCCTTTGCGCCGTCTAGAAAATCTTGCAAATCCTGTTCAACATATATTTATTTTTGAACTCTTTTTGAATCATATTATTATTACTTTACTTTCGGCAAAGGTTTGACGTCTTTTTTAATTTGCATTCCTCCTGCCTCAATAACCGCAGGCACGAAAGGTCTTGGATAGTTCAAGCAGAAGTGTCCGTTCAAAATGAGGAGGCTCGTGTTTTTCTGCAATTCCACCACGGAGGGTGCGTCTGGTCCGAAAAATTCTTTGATGTCTTCATCAATAATTGGAAAAATGAACCAGAATCTACTTGTTTCCAATTTTATATTATAAAAGATTATTATAAAATTAAATTAAATTTGGCCAAGACCTTAGAAAGTTGAGAAGGTGCGCAGTAAACGTGTTTATGAAACGCTGATAAAAGGTCATGTGATCTGTGTATGGCAAAAATTTATTTGGTACGTAAGACGGCGGTTCAGGATTTCCAATTCCTATTTCAAAGTGGGATGCATCACCTGACGGGGCCATCATGACCATGGGTGCGTTGTAAAGCCACGAAAAGGGGTAGGCGCAGTCATTGTAATACATTGGCACCAAAAGTAAATCAAAATTTTCACTTCTTAATGCTTCGACCTGAAACATGCGATTATTTTTTAGCTAAGCATATTATGCGCAATTTTTTTTTACCAAATTAAGGCATAAAAAGAGTAATTTTATAGACGAAACAAAACTTTTTTTAAATTATAATAAAGCGATTTATTCATTTTGTTCTATTTATTATTATTATTTTTTACTTCAAAATGTAAATAAAAATATATTCCTCTAATAATGATATATTCTCATTGATAAAAATGTAAAATAGAGAAATATGTTGAATAAAGATTTTTTTAAATATTGGTGAATTACCTCTGGTATTTTCAAAACTTTGCTGCAGACCACCATAACGTTCGCAGGTTCACCCGGTTCTCTCCACCGGAAGATTTGTGTCCAAAATCCCGACTTGCTAGCCTTTACCATGTTAATCTCGTTGAAAAGTTCCCTCACTATCTTTACGTCTATCTGCCGGTAGTTCTTCGGCGTGTTTTTCATGGGAAATGCGGTGACCACAGTGAGTTCGTGACCTCGGTTGGCCAGCTCGACATTCAGGGCGTTGAAAAAGTTGTTGTGGCTCCGCGACGAGATGCCAAAGAACCCTAAAATTTTGGCGGCGGCCACCTCCGGAGGCGGAATGGTGGCCGTAATGACCAGCAGGACTACTAAAAAATTCGTTTTTGTTGAAGAGGACATCTTTCAAAACACTGTATGATGCTAGATAGCACTTTCTCAATCACACGTGTGGTTAAATAAATATAAAGTCGTTTGCCGTTTGATAAGATTAAAAAGATTAAAGAGGACTTTGGCCGATTAAAGGATTGTAAATATATAATATATTTTTTATCAGAATTTATAATCAATAATGAAAGTAAAAACAATTTGGATTCCGTTTCATTTATCAGTTTAATTAATATTTCTGATTGAAAATTTTACATTCATGAAATTTTTGATATTATATTATAATATCAACAATTCATTGGTTTTTTGTTTTTTACTTATGTTTAATTTTCAATAATGACAAAGGATACAAATAAAACTCCAAAGAACGTAAAGGAGGAGGTTTGTTCTTTTTTTATTTCATAATATATCTCGTAAAATTATGAAATTAACAAACATTATAATATATAATTAACCTCTTTTTGCGTCAACTAAACTCTGCACCGCTCATTAAAAACACATTTTACTCACTCAAAAATTCATGCAAATCTCTGCGTGTTTACATCTTATATTCATACAACACCTTTTTTACTTGTAATCTCTCTGTATATAACGAATCTCAGTATCAATACATCATTTTTGGTTCTCCATAACAGTTTTGGGATTCTTTAATTGGTATTATTTTTAATTCATATACAGCATAAGGGTATCTCATCGTTTGACCAGCGGGAACAGCATTTTTTAACTGTTACAGCAAGTACAAGGAAGGCGAGGAGAAATCTTCTATTGAAGTTGAAGTGTGACACTTTTTTATTAAAGGCTGAGAATGAATAATATATATTGCGTTCGAAAAACCGCGACTTGCATAAAGAATCGATCGGTATAAGTAGTAGTTTTTATCACATAGGCCTCTTCAAACAAACCAAAGTAACGCTTCTTTAGAGTTTCTGAGCTGCTATTTGAAAAAGTCGAAGAAGAACATGACATATTATCGAAAAGTGGTGTGAAGTTGACGACCGCTCAACGCAATTTTGCTCTAGTTCATCTCGCTAAAATAAAAATATATATGAGACGCACAATCAACAACTCTCTGCTTATTGCACAAAATCAACCTCTTTTGAACAACGTACCAACAACTGCGAGTGTAACAACAACAATTGCTCCTAAATAACTTATTTAATAGTATTTAGTTCTTCCTCTATAAAAGTGACCGAGAATAATAAGCGCAGACATGAGAGAAGAACGACGGGTTTGTTTTCTGAAGAGAGGTTTTTTGTTTTATTTGATTGGCATTAATATATTTTATAACCCCTTTGCATATATGATAGTGTCACGTTTACAGTAATCCATCATTTTTTCTTGTCATAATTTTTTTTTGAGTATTTTATTAATTCAGCACCTGTCTATAGTAGGGTTGAGTTGAACAGAGTAATTCTTTATTGTTATTAGAAATGTTCAATTGAAATACGCTGCCTAGCTTTCGATTTTAAAATATTTTTAAATTTGGCCAGTCAAAACTTTTACAGAATTTTTAAAAGTAAAAGGTAAAAGTAAGTTGACTGTAGTTCTTAAAACACATATCTTAAGGTTAAATATTTATTGCTGTTCTTAATCAGCTTTATTAATTTGTGGAAACCGTGAATAAAAAAAGAGTGATTTGACAATAGGAAAATTTAAATGCTTCCCCATAATTTAAACAAAGTTTTTTTGTAATAAAAAAAATAATATGATAACCATTTGGGAATAACTATAGTTAATCTGAAACATTTCAAACAGACCGAATTAAAAAACTTTTAAATTGGAAAAATCCTATATTTAGAACAACTTCTTTCATTTGAACATCTCTAATCCTTATCATGAGAGGGGTTGGTAAGCGTTTTGACGAGAGAGTTCCTCTTAATAAGGGGATGAAAATGCAAAAAACGAGGCTCCATTGAATGTCAGTCAAAAATGCACTCTCACTCGCTGGCGATGGCACCGACGTCAACAGTCCGTACACGGCTCGAGTCGGTTGGCACGTCCTGAAGCCTGGCCGGGTCGGCCACCGGCATGATGATGCACATGAATGTGCGTCCGCTGGCAGAGTCCTTGGGGTAAATGGTGACAGGGGTGAAGGGTTCGCTGCTCTCCACGTAGGCGCCCAACTTTCGATATATCTCAGGGAACTGTTTTCTCAGGGACACGCCACGCTGCTTCAGTTGGCGCTGAATGTTGGCGGCGACCAGTTCGCGCCTCTGCGACGCCTCCTCCCTTGACAGTGACATCGGCGTCAGGATCAGCGTTTCAGGGTTGTCCAGGTCGCGCGTAATGGCCTCCTGCGCAGGCGCCACGTGTGGAGGTGAGGAGGGGCAGTGTAGCTGCTGGAGTTGCTGCGCGTGCGCGGTGTGGTTTCTGTGCAGACGCACCTTTGCGCACCGTGTGATGATCTGCCGCTCCCACTTGACTGCCCCGGAACTGGGCACCTCGCTTACCACGCAGGTCGCCACGTAGACGACGAGACGCGTGTCAGGGTTGTAACCCTTGCACAGACGCAGCAACTCCTTGTACTGCTCGTTGCCCATTTCCGTGGGCAGAAGGTCTGACCATCGCACGTAGCACGGGTCGCCGGGCAGCAGAGGCTCGGTGGCCGCCGAGCCGGCGGCCACGGCCGCTGCAAACCTTTCAGCCAACTCAGGGCTGGAGAAGAAGACCTTGACGCAGCCCCTGCCGTGCGCCAGGTAGCCGCGCCGGGCCAGCTTCGACAGCACTTCCAAGGAAGGTTGGTGCTCCTTGCAGGCGTTGGCCACCCTGCGGCAAAGGGCACCGATGCGGCCGTGCAGACAGGTCTTGCGGTGACCTTTTTCCCAGTGTGCGCGTCGACACTCGCGCGAGCAGTAGACCTGCGCGTTGCAGTTGTGGCACGTCTTGAAGGAGCGCCGCGCCTCGGCCAGACTGGCCGCCTTGCCGCACTTGGAGTACCGACACCGGACGACGTTGTCGCCGTCGGACGTCGGCGCGCTGCTGTCAAGCGACACCTCTCGTGGTGTCGTCAGGGTCACGGGGTCCAGTTCGAAGCTGACCCTTCGCGTCTTCTCCAGGTTGGCGGTGCCTCGGGCGGCGCCTCCGCCACGGTGGATGGCGCCGCTCGAGTGGCGCCGAATGGTGCCGCCTCCGGGGGCTGCGAATCCACCTGCCTCATTAGCTGACCCTGCAAGATTGCAATTTTAAATTAATAATTGGTTCAAATTATAATTCTGGGGGTGGAGAAAACTAATCAGAAAATAACTTCTGTAGCTGTGTGTTTTGCGACTGCAAATTTCTCTTTCTTGAAAAAAGTAAAAGCGATGGTATTTTTTTTCTGTCGTAATTTGCTCTAACTAATTTAGCGAGTGCTTCGTTATTTTTTGGCTTTTGTATTGAAAGTAGAAATAATTAGTGCAGAAACCATTGAGGTGCCGTGGCTGAGTGGGCGATGTTTGCGGTGTGCCAATTGGGTGCAAAGAAAATGGTTTGCCGTCGGTGAAAGAAATGTTTTTGACTGGCTAACAAAATGCAAAAGAGGACGATTCAAATGAACTTCCAAAAAGTTATAATATATTTATAAAAAACAATAAAAAGCTATAAGTAGGTAAATTTTCATGTATTATTTATTTATTTTATCATATTAAATTCTCAATTCTAGATAATCGTAAAAAACATTTTAAGAGGAAAAAAAATACATTTGATTCGTCACCTTTGTTTAGTTTTCTCAAACCACCATGCAGCAGTGCGTTCGTTAGCAAAATTAAGTCTCCTTGGACAAAGCCTCTAATGGATTCTCAAGAAGACTTGGTTAAAATTTCAATTTATGATCAATGATTACAACATGGAAAAGCGATATCTATGGTTTTAGTTCTCATGATTAGATGGTACAAAATGAAAAATAAAGAAGCAGTCTCATATATATTTGATGCCAATTAAAGAATTGCAGCCATAATTTTGTGTTTGTGTATTGTGTGTATAAATGACCGTTAGTCTTTTCGGCTGGTTTAGTCAACATTTCACGTATTTGCGTCTGTACGTGTGGGTTAACATGCTGTGAAGTATATAATTCTCCTCTAAATCTGTTGAGTAAGGTACTTGTTCTGTGAAATATAATTATAAATGTGGTGCGTTTAGAATGCTCTGGATCGGCCACGCATGCAGCTAGAATTCTCTCGAGGGTGATTAATATATTATTATTCACGAAAGGGTTGTTATGACAAAGACAAAAAGTCAGCGGCAAGCTGTGAACACAGAACTCTGGTTACCATATCCGAAAACGTGATATTTTTATTAAAACTTTGAAGAGAAAAAGCGATTTATGAAGTACTGAAATATAACAATGCACAAACGAAGCAGAAGTTCTACATACATTATCAAGCTCAAATACACTTATCCTAAAGCACTAATCTCAGATATAGATCAATATATATTACTTACTGTCGCTAAGTTTGGGCAAGGGTTTAAGAATACAATTGTTTTAATAGGGGTAAATCGAAACAACATGCTGGATTCCAACAATCAAGTATATAGTATGATTTTGATGGCGATGGGAAATCTCAGGGGGTATGATTTTTTTTGTAAAGAGAAAGTTCCTCCAAGATGAAAAAAAAGCAAATCGAAGCCCATTTGATTTCTGCCTGTACTGTATAAAATTTCTAAGAGACTCACAGGAATAATTTATTTTTAAGAAAATTTATTTTTCCTTCTACAGTTTACAAACACCAAACATCGAGTGAGATATTATTTTATATATATCTACAATTATTGTGCTTTTCCAAAAATTACCAAAATTTTATCACATAAAAATATTGAGCACTCGATTTAACACGTGATTTTTTTTTTCAATTTTCTTGTTGTTCTTTTATCAAAATCTCACCCCCAGTGAATGCCAGCGGCGGCGGCAGTCATGGTGGCCGAGTTGAACTTGAGCGCGGCCGGTTGGTTTCCGGACACGGCGGCTACCTGTAAGATGCGCTCCTTGTGCAGCCTCCGGTGCTCCTTGTGGCTTTCAGCTGCTGCTGTACTGTCAAATAACGGTCGGCAAGAGCTTTTAGCAAAAAGTGCGCAAAACTGAGGCGAACATCTGCCACGCAATTTAAAATTGAAAAGAAAATAGAGAGAGATGTGAAATCCTGAGAATTGCAATAGGTGCTTTAGAGAGAGATTGCTGGCGTGCGTGAGATCTACTTGATGATCAGCTAAAGGCTACTTTTTGTCTATTCTGGTCTGATATACAATTTTGAGCTAGAGAGATTTTTTTTAGTCTGTTGTCTGTCGTGTCTCTGTTTTCTCGTGTGTCACCCACAGAGGAACTAAAACTAGGAAACGAAAAAGAGCGGAATGCCGAGAAAACGTCAAAAGACGAGTTTCCTCGGCAAACCGCTCGAAGGTGAACTGGCCAAGTTGGTTTTGATCAGCGCCTGATTTTGGTCGCGTATGCAACCTGTACGACTCAGAATGCGTACCAGTTGGAGAATCAGAAAATTTTGAAAATAATTTCATTGATGTATTCATAATAAAAACAGAAATTTTATATGCATTGAATAACATGAAAGATATTATGCATAACATTCAAACGATTGTAATTACTGAATTGTATGGAAAAAAAGAATAAATTTGTATAACTATATTAAATCTTTCAGTTATTAAAAACTGCTTCACTATAAAAATTATAATTAATAATATTTCTTATGGTTTTATTGAAGTTGAACAGGGGATAATAATAGAAATTACTGCGAATTCAAATATGATAAAAATTCGAATTCTAGCCTCTTAATATTTGATGGAATTTTTAAAAATTATGCTTAGTGACCAGTTACTTATTTAATAAAAAAAATTAAATTATTTGATTTAATCATCGGAAATTAAATAAAAATTTGAAGTAAAATTTGTAAAATATTGTAAACATAAATACTTAAAAAAATTTAAATATAAAAGAAAATCCATAAAATATAATTTAAAAAAAAAAACATTTTAAATAAATTTAGGTTCTTAAATTACTAGTTTATTTTTATTACTAATAAATTACATACTTAAAATTCAATTTTCAAAATCGTAGAATTTTCTATTATAATATAAGGTAATAAATCGTATCTTTGCTAATCAAAGCCATATTTAAGCCAATTCACCTTAAGTGGAGGTTACTAAGGAAGAAGACACGGACTTACACTGATCTCCTACCTTGGTCGGCGGCGGCAGCGTCGCTCTGGTCGCGGTGTCTGCCGGCGCTGTTGAGCAGGGTCATCGAGTTGCCCGGCGAAACGACGGGCGAGGGCGAGCGCGAGGTGGTGGGCAGGCCGAGCAGCGAGTCGAGCACGTCCTCGATGGTGGCCGAGGGCGGGCTGGCGCGCGAGTTGCCGAAGTTTTCCAGCAGCTCCTTCAGCTCGTCCTGCAGCTTGGGCTTGCCCGGCGGCCCCAGCAGCGGCTCCAGCTCGACGTCGGACACGTCGGACGCGTTGTCCTCGCACCCCGTCGGCTCGATGTTGAAGTTGATGTTGATGTACTGCTGGTACTTGCTCTTGCTGCACGGGGCCGCCGGAAGGTGCGTCACCTCGGAAGGGGTGCTGATGACCACTTTCGCCTCGTCCTCCTCGTCTGCAAATTGCGCAATTTTTAATAAAAAGCACGGCCTAAGCTGCTTTTTATTGCTCTGCTCTTTAATATTACGGAGGACGGATTTTTTTATTTCATAACTCCTATACACAAGCAGAACAGACATGACACTATAAGGCGCTTTAATACTTTAATGGCTGCGCCGTAAAAAGACAGGATTGCTAAAATGGGATCTGCGAAATAAAAATCTGCCTGAGAAAATTAAGTTTGATAAAATAAAAAATTTAATAGCGGAGAGGTGTTGTGGAGAATTAACATTTTGAAAGTAGATTATAGTGATTCTCTTTTTAATATTTTAACATGTGACTTTTAATAGGGATAACAAAATAAATAAAAGTTATCCAAAATTTAATGACAATAATTTAACAATGATGTCTGTTGTATTGCGTGCTGCATTTCAGCCACTAAAAGCAAGTTTAATGGAGAAAATTTGAAATTATTCCTATCAAAAAGAATTGCCGAAGACAAAGAATCACTCCTTGAAATCTCATCAGTTGGAATTTTTATTTTAATTAATTAAGAAGGTTTGTGTGAGGCAAAGTTAAAGTAGTCGTGTTAAATCTTTGAAAAATCAAAAGGTGGCGCAAATTTTGGCAAATTAATTTCCAATTCTAATTTTCCAATATGTGTGCTGAAATTTTTGCCACTGGGTTTCATCTCGGTTAGTCTGCAAACTGTCTCATGCTTTGAGGCCTGTTGTTAGTCGACCGGCCTGTTCAAGTTGCAATATCGACTTACCGCGGTTTGCTGAATTTTGTATTTGTGAGAGATTAAAAAAACAGGTTGCGCCATGTCGCTATAAACAACAACAAAATCACTGCATCACTTTACAGTTTAAATTCCAGAAAATCATTAAAATTTTTTTATTATTTGTGAAGTTCTTGCATTTTTGGTGGAGATGGGAATATTGTGAGGCTGCTCAAAAATAAAAATCTGAATATACTAACAGAAAAGGTCATGCAAAATAAGGTCAAACGAAACGCAAAAGGGTTAAATGAAAATAATCATTGTTTTTATTTTTGCATATTTACACATTTGACAGAGGATAAAAATTAATGCGATAAAACAAGCACTCTTTTACAAGTACAGTAATATCTCAGGGGTTAATTATAAAGTTTGATGATAATATGCACAGAGGTCATTGTAGAAATAAACTAAATAAAACACATATTATGCATAGACGGTTCAACGAAACATTACAATAATGTACATGCCAACAGAATATAACACAGTAGTTTTTTCTCTAACAATAAAAGTTCATTTCATTCAGGGACAAATCATAAAACTGCGATTAAATTCTCTCTACATTACAGACACCGGTTACAGAAATAAATCGGACAAGACACAATCATGCTTTCAACTTAAAAAGGTGGTTACACATCAAATAAAATAAATCAAACTCAAGGGTGTGTTTGTAGGTTTGGATAAACTCATAAACAGAATGCAACAATGGAAGACGTTGGATTTATGCCTCGTTTTCCAAGCACTCTCAATAATTATCTGTATTGCAAGATAAAAATGAAGATGCCTAACAAAAGCAGCGCTAAATTAAACAAAATCTAAGCCTAGGCTGGTTGGCCGAATATGGGTTCAGACTAGTCGGGGTTCGACCAACCGCTTTTAAGCTAGCTAATCTAGGGACACTCGGATCCAGATTCGAAACTGTCCAAGAAATCTTTGCAAATTGTGACTGATTATGTAAAAAAACAGGCACACTTTGCAAAGTTCCAAAAGCAGCAAATCGTCCGGACCTGAGTTGACCTGCGTCAGAATTTGGAAAGTTCAAGCCAGGACGGGGTCTTTGTGTGTGTCTATTGTGCGAGCAGGGCGGCCACTGCACCAGGGTAATCATGTGCCTTGATGCAGCAGCTCAACACCCCGAGTCGCACCCTACTCCTATCTCTCCTCACAATGCCTAGAATGCAAAATAAGAATTTAATAAGGTTGGAAATTAAAAACATAAAAATTAAACCAAAGCACTCGCTCTCACAAAGGAAGAAGAATTCCTTCAGTTCTTTGTGAATCAATTATTGTCACATTAGCACAAGCAGTAAATTAATCAAGGGCGGAGCCTATGAGGATCTCTATAAAAAAAATAGGCTCGGAAGGATTTAATTTGGAACAATAGAAGTTTTGTGCAAATTTCAGATTTGCAATATGCATCTAACTTAGAATGATTAATATTCACAAAATATACACAGCACGTCTGCAAAAATTTGGATTGAACAAAGTTAAAAGTATTTCTAATGTTCAAATTATGATCAACTGGCAAGGTGGATTGATTTTTTTTAAAAAAGGAAAAAGACTTTGAAATTACTATATTCAAATATGAAACACTTAAAATATAAAAGCACCACTAAAGCAAAACGGGCAAAACTTAGTTTCCTGTTACTTTAAAAATATTTAAGGTAATAAGGAGTACTAAAGGTGGCAGCCATTCATTTATGTTAACATGAAATTTGATGAAAATGTTATCAAAATACAATTATTCCAATATAATTTAAAATTAATTAAAAAAATCTTTTAAATTTATCTTCAATTTACAGAACAAGGGTTCAAAAATTTGCAATTACTTTTAACTTCTTTTAAAGGTCTACCACCTTTAAAATATCACATTTTTGACATTGTTTCGAATGAACAACAATTTGGAATTTCAAACCACTTTGCCAGAAGATACAAAAATTGTGTGTGATTTTGAGTGTCAGTCGTTGGCGGGCGTTGGTGTGTGGTTTTTTTACGTCTCACGCGAGCAAATACTCACCATTGCTGAGCCTGCCGTTGGCATGGTTGATGATGACGCCGCCGGTCTGCATACGCTCAGGTTGCGAGGCGGCGCAGCTCGGGTTGTCGTCGGGCATGCTGGGCGTCTCGGGCTGGTCGATGGGTCTGCTGCCGACGAACGACGACTCGACCCAGAGCCGCGTTTTGCTGCCGCGCGGTGACGGCGACCTGCCGGGCCGCGCCGGCGAAAGGTTCTTCTCGTTGACATAGTGCACGATGGCGCTGGTCACCTCTTTGATGGAAGACCTGACCTCGGCGTTGTTGTTCGGAGACACGCCCCCGGGGGGCATCACGCTCAGCGCCGGGGGCGGCAGCGGGGGCTTGCTTGTTGACGTCGTCGCCGCCAACCGTTCGGCCGGCGTCCGGTAGTGCGTAGGCGTGTTGGCCAGCAACTTTTCCTGCAAAATTGCAAAATGTCAGTAAACGCGATTTTTAGCACAAATCATAGCAAAATGAGATAAGAAAATTTAATTTTTTTACAAAAAAAATTCTCTTATCAATAAAGTGATAGTGTGTTAAGATACCATTACATTAGAAGAAGAAATGTTGTAAATCATTAACAGCTCTTTTTTACTATTTAAATTTTCTTTTGATTATGCTTTAATATTATGAATGGTATTCCCTTCTTTTGTGAGACATGGTGGCATTTAATCAAATTGAAAGTTGATATTGAATTATGAAAACACATTTAGTTGCTTAGATCAAAGGCACAGTTAAGAAGAACTATAATTTATATTTACCAATTAGGTATGTTTCAAATATGAAACAATATTAATTCAGATTTTATTTTTATTATAATTACTAGCCACAAAATTTCATTTTTAAAATCTCAACTATCTTAAAAATTAAATTTGTATTAAAAAATTAATTAAAAATATTTAAATTTAATAAAATATTGTTAAAATTAAGTAAAAAAAATTATAAATATCAGTTAAACCGAATTATATTAAATAATTATTTTTGTTATTTATTTACTGTAGTTCTCTTCTGTCAGACGCTTTTTGTGTTAAGATACAAATTAAAGGAAAAAATTATTGTAAAACAATTATCAACATTTTTCTACAATTCAGATTAACTTTTGAATAATATACGTTGTAGTTTTATTTATGTGTTCCCTCCCTTCAGGAGACATAGTGGCTTTTTAAAAACCGAAAACACAGAAAAAGAACAAATTCAAAATTATTTTCCTCTGTTGAATCAAAACTAATTTAATTGAATAGGTCCTTCAATTAAAAATACTATAATATTGTGCAATGTTTGTATCTTATAAAATAATCGTAAGCTTGAAAATATTAATGACGTAAAATGAACATTAAATTTAATTAGTTCATTTATAATATTTTTAACAATACCTGTGAGCGCCAGCCGAGGTAAGGCTGTCTGTAGTGGAAGCTGGACCTGGTGGATCCGGAGGGCGAGGTGCTGGCCGAGTTGAGCCTGGAGGTGCTCCACCGCGAGAAGGGTGCGTAGTTGAAGGAGAGGCGCTCCTGGGGGCTGGGGGAGACGACGGGGCTGGGGCTGGAGGCGGAGGGCGTTTGGTGCCGGGTGCGCAGGTGGGGGCTCTGCTGCAGCGACGACAGCGACGTCGTCTTCGAGTTGAGGCCGGGCCATTTAGAGTTGTTGCTGGTGCCGGCCGAGCACCGGCGGTTCAGCAGGAACGAGCCCGTCGGCGCCGCCGGACTGTTTTTGTACCACTCGGGCACGTCCAGCCGCTGCAGCGACCGCTGCACCCGCAGCTCGTGCTCGGACAACTTGCGCTCGCTCACCTTGCGCAGTTCATTTTCAGGCGGCTGAAACATAATTTTAATCAAACGTTAGTGAAAAATTGAACGTTGATAATAGTTCATATTGAATAACTATGACACATTTCGCTGGGAAACTCTGCATCAGGGAGGAGAGAATAACATCTTATATTAATTAATATGATATACCTTCATATTTAAAACATTATATTAATTCAAAGTTCATTTTTAACATGGATGTTAAGCACATATTTTAAATCTCAATAATTTTCAATAATTTATATTGACAAATTAAACATAAAAACTTTAATTTGAATAATAATTGGTAAAAGAATAATGAATAAAATTTAAATCAATTTATATTATATATGAGAAAATAATTATAAATATATAATTTTAAATGTTTGTTACTGTTTTGTTGCATTAGGGTTTTAATAGAATATTATTTTTGCAATAAAATTTAAGAGCTTATTTACATTACTATTTTACAAATTTGTTATTATTCATAGCATTTAATTAACGATTTCTATTTTTTTTTTTATTAAAACATTTCAAATCAACTTTTACTTTATGCCTTCTAGCAAAAAGAAAACTGTGAACTAATCACGTTTGAATATGTGAACATGTTTGGTTCAATGCATATCAAATCGAGGGCCCCAATCATAATCATATATAATTATCCAATCCTTTGGAGGGCCTCTCGCGTAAACGCGCCGATTATTGACTCTAATGAGGAAAGCAATCGCCCTCTGTGCACGACTTATTCGCGCGCGGGCTAAACGAACGACCTCCAAAGTTGGCGCTTATTTGTCTTCGAAATGTTATCTCGCTCCACACACGCTTTAATTTCCCTTATCAGCTTATCGTCGAAGCATGTTTGCGCGCCGCATTCTTGGTGCCCAGCGAATTCGCTTCTCTTATTTGCTTTCGTCCGTGTTTATATAATTAATTTTCTCGGAATGAGGGGGACTTCGCGCCTCTCCGCGTGTTAATCAGATGAGATGGACGCGCCATAAGTCAGAGGCTGAGTGATGCCAAAAAGGCTTCAGTGCGAAGGGAATGCGGGTAAAAAGCCGAGACGGCAATTCCAGCGCCGTGATTTTCTAAAATTAGCCCTCGGCCGTTTTGAGCGCACATGATCATCTCTCTCGCACCAACACCGATCCAGAATATAAAAAGTAAAAAAAACCAAGCATGCACTCCGTCCTATGGAATTTCAAGCTCGTGTGTCATCGGAACTGGAATATATGTATAGCTGGAGAGTTGAATATTCCAGGAATTATTGCTAATATAATTTTTGGAGCCAAACAATTAGCGGAAGACTTAATTGTGTCATTAAAAAATTGAACGTTTCTTGGAAGCAAATTCCATGCCAACTAAAAATTAAATTCTTATAGAGGACAATCAAAAATGTAATCGTAAATTCTTGAATTTAAATTGTAACTTTACTTCATTAATTAATTTCAATTTTAATCTGACAAAGAAAGTTATTTTAATTAAAATCCTGACTTAATTTGAAATGAAATTGATAAAAAAATAAATGAAAAATCCAAAAAATTTATTAATTTACCTTCACTGAAATAACAGTTACTGTTTCCTCAAATATAAAATTTACTTCTCATTCAATTAATTAATAAAAGATCAAAAGATGTTAATCATTTAATACTTAAAATCAAAGAAGAAAAAGAAGAAATTTAAATTTAAGATCATGTAGATAAAATTTAATATGGTCAATGATTTTTTTTTTAATTTCAATAACTTAAAGACTTGCAATGGAAAAATTTGCAATCAAAAACCACTTTCCATCGAAAACCACTTTGAAATTTATCAATTAAACTAATTAAATCAATCAAAACTCACTTTCCATTTTCGTTAATCTGCGACTCAAATAATTTAAATAAATGAGATACATATTTCCAGAACACGGCGGCCCTTAGTCTCGGCCTTGCGGCAAAATGACCCCGACACTGAAGATGAACCGGCCGATAAATAAAGCTTTACGACCTCCACGGCCGCTTCAAAGCTTGGCCTTTTTACATTGCCCGCGTACGTTTCCCTTTTATTCTCTCTCTCTCTTTTAGCCGCTGGTCCAGCACTTGACGGAGATGTGCGCTCCCCCTCGGCTGCACCCTCCACGGAATAAACAGACTCATATCAGACGAGGAGTAAAAATAGGGAGGAATTTCTGTGGGTAAAAGACCTGCAGCCCACCCTCAGATATTTTGTTGCGCTCTCTGACTAACCGAGGCGACGATTCCGAGAACGAAACTAATGGAGCAGTGACAAAAGTTGAGAAAATTCCGACTTGTTGTTTTTATTTCTCGGTTGTTGTTTGACAGGCCAGGCTTAAGATTTTTCAACTGTGAAAACGTTTATCTCAAGAGTGTGATGTCAATTTTTGTAGAACAATTTGCTTAATCAGATAAAAATAAAATTCTTTTTTTAAACCGAATAAAAAGAAACATCAAAGAGCAACTTTGAAATCAAATTTGAAACCTGAAATAGGCATAAAAAATTACATGAATTGAAAGAAGTCTGTCTATTTTCGTTCAACTCGGCTCAATTTCCTCACACGGAATGACCGAGAGGGTATTTTTCGGGGGGACCCGAAGTGACGTAATGCATGTTTTGATCGGAAAACAACACATCAGGAATATCGATCCGATCTATAAGCAGCAGTCTCGGCATCGGTAAGGTTTCACGTGGCCGCTAATAAAGCGCTAAAATCGATTTCCACAGCCTTTTCAAAAAGTCACCACGTGTTTCGAAACAAAAAACTGAATACAATCTCCAATATGAAAAAAAAACTGAATCGCATGAACTCGAGCATCAATCTCAATTAAAACTTTCCTACCCCAGGGAGAGAGAAAAAAGCGAAATTGCCACTTTTTTCCATCTCCTTTTTTCCGCACAAATTATTAAAATCGTTTTCGCCAAAATTACTCACAAGGGTGACGAAGTGGAGGCCAGTCTCACTACCGATCCGGCGTTCCCTCATAGTGTGGTAATAAAAAATCCAGCAAGTTTCAATGTCGTGCACAAGTGACCCACTAGCTAGCAAGGCTCTCGGTGAACTGGTCTTGCTCTCGCACAAGCTGCTATGATAAGACTGGCCTCTTTCTTTCTTTGTGCCTGCCTGCGAGGCTGAGCAGCACCTTCGGAGAGGGGAGGGGGCGGCCAGGTGGCGCAGCCCCTAATGGACTTTGCCTTCTCGGCGCCTCGTCTCGTCGCCCGCCGATAATTGCGTGAGTCGCGCTCATGCTAATGAAATTGATTTTCCTCTCGACCCCCGTCGAGCTGCGAAATAATGTCGGTCGGACGGTCGGGCTGATAAGCCGTTTTCGTCGCCAAACATTACACGCACGTAAAACACACATCGTGCGTAATCATTGGAACGTTTTTGTTTTGCTGGGAAATTTGACTTCAAAGTAGTGTGACCTCTTGTGTAAAAACATTGCCGAATTTCTCTTTTTTAATGAACAAACCGTGTTTCGATTTTTGTTTTTAAACACAAAGAAAAGCAAGCTACTGATATCATTGTTATATTAAAATTAGCATTTAGCTTTCTAAAGAATTGGTATGAATTACGCAGAAGTGTTTCTTTAGTCAAATAAATGTGCTACATGGAAATTGAGAGTAAATTAATCTTCAAATTATTGTTATTCCTTTAGATCAATGAATTGTAATTAGTAATGTAAGATTTATTATATAGCACGTCATTCAGAAGTTGCTGACGTTATCATAGAGACAGTTTATATAAAATTAAGATTTAAATAATATATTAATTTATAATATTTGAAATTTGCAATTTAAGTATTTATTTCTGCTTTTTGTATACAGCATTTAGCTATTATTGTACATATAGGTCAAAAAATAAAAATATTTACAATAATTAAGATATTAACAAATAATAAAAAAAAATTAATCATATTTTGGGAAGTAAAATATAATATAAATAAATTTATTTTTTAACAATTTGCATTATAAATATTTTTTGATCTACACTATTTTACTATTTAGAAAAATTAACATTTTTGTCGTTAAAATATTCGCATATTAAGAAATAATATCTGTTGACCTTTTATATTAGTTTAATGAAAAAATTAACATTATATTTCCCTTATTTTCTCTAGCATTTCACTTCCCCAAGTTTCGTCACCTTATACGAAGACGGCAATCTAGAAATAAAGTGGGATTGGATGGCATCGCAATTAACCTTGGCTCTCACTCGCACTTATGCGTCAAATTAACTCTGGTATAATAAAAGACACACGAATTCTTCCAGAACTAGTGCTCGATTATGCACGCCTTAATGATGGTGATTCACGTCATTAAGCGAATCTCGTTTAATCACCGTTCAGGACATCCGCTCGAAAATTGCCGCGCCGTGCACAATGGGCGCCCTTGTGTCGCCGCCCGTCCGTCTGTCGGTCGTTCGGAAATTATTTTCAAGATGGCCTTTCGGTCAGACGAATTCTCAATTGAATGGGGAGCGCTTTATAATGTTTTTTGATCGTCCACGCAGAGTTAAGTTTCGTCTTGCCGAGAGGGAGAATTTGAGAATGCTAATTGAAACTGGATATTGCATCTTGCCGAGATTCCGTGCGCAAAAGTATATATAAAGTGTCTGCAGCCGAGTTAAAAGTTATTTCGCGTGCGGCCGCGATCAAAAACTGTTTCATGTGCAGAGCATATTTCTCGAATGATTTATATTCAAATCAGATGTCTCGCAAGGAAATTGGGTCGGCGAGGTCATAAATTTCCTCTGCAATCGGCACCAAACGGAAAAAGGGTGGAGACAGAAAAGTTGAAAATTGCAGAGAAATGCTATATTTTTCACGAGTCTTTATAGGGAGTTGAACTATTGTTTACTTTATACTCAAAATTTATAAACCTTCTTAATTGATTATAGGTTATAAAGTGCATTATCATGTAAATTAAGAAATATAGCATGTTTCAATACATGAATGAAATTTTCCAATGGTCAAAATCAGTCAAAATTGTTTTTTTTTTTTATTAAATAAATGCTGCATTATTAATTAAATAAC